GTGGTTACTGCTTCATCTGAAGAGTTCTCAACCCTGGTTGCACATTAGGATCACCTAGGAGATGATTTTAAAATGCCAGTGCCTAGAGATTCTGATTTTATGGGTCTGGTGTGGGGCCCTGGCAGAAAGTATTTTATCAAAACTCTTCCACTGATTTTACTGTTGCAGCTGGATTGAAGAATTACTGGACTAGACGACTACTTGTTGATATGTTAAAAGAAAGTAAACCAGATGTTTTCTCTAAGTCTCTTTCAAATTTGAGAAAATAAATGGAAACTAATACTTGTGGAGCATATGTTATAGCTCAGCACATTTACATTTTATCTTCTTTAATAATCGAATTAATATATGTAAATCCTTTAATTGAATGCCTTTGTGTAGTAAGCCCTCAATAAATATAATTATTAGCTATTATTATCGCATCCTCTCTAAAGCCTGTCTATGAAGGTGTCATCCCTACGTTTACCAAAAAAAAAAAAAAGAAAGAAAGAAAACCCAGTTGCCATCAAGTTGATTTTGATTCATGGCAACCCCACGTGTGCAGAGCAGAACTGTCCTCCATAAGGTTTTCAAGGCTGTGACTTTGGGAAGCAGATTGCTAGGCCTTTCTTTTGAGGCAACTCTGGATGGGTTCCAACCACCTGCCTTTCAGTCAGTAGTCAGCCCTTAATCAATCTGCACCACCCAGAGATATCCCTACATTACAGATGAATAAACTGAAACTCTGAAGTTAAGTTGATTTTCCAAAACCCTCAAGTAGTGAACTATAAAATTAGGATTTAAACCAGATTTAAAGCTAATTTTTCTAAATTCCAGAGCCTTTGTTGTTTTCCCCTACAGGACACCTCTAAAAGATCTAGGGGTTTACACAAATCATAATTTACCTGAGTGAACATTAAAAAATATTTTTTCTTTTCTTTCTTTGAACATTTTAAAATTTAAATTTACCAAACCAAATCCATTGTGGTCTAGTGAATTCTGAGTCATAGCAACCCTACAGGACAGGGTAGAACTGTCCCACAGGGTTTCCAAGGAGCAGCTGGTGGATTGGAACTGCCAACCTTTTGGTTAGCAGCCAAGTTCTTAACCACTGCGCCACCAGGACCACGTTTAACAAACCAGATCCTCTCAACCTGTTTGTAAGGAGACTGTCTTAAATGTAGTCTCTGAAAAAGAAGAAAAGTAGACGTCCACATTTTTTCCTAAAGTGGTCTGATGGAAACTTCTCCGTAGATTTTGAGAACCTCTGAGAGCAGGAAGAATGCGTAGAGGTATCTCCTCAGAACTTAAAACAGAGCATTCGAAGCAAACAAAAAGGGAAAAAACTGCTCCCAAGTAAAACACTTTCCATACTAATGAATGGGTAATGTAAACAACTGTCACTTTTGTGCAGCCTAGCGCTGGTAGGTTAATCACATATTAACACTTAGGAAGGGACAGTTACGCTCGGCTCGAGGTGATGGCCTGGTCATATCTGACATCTCCCCTCAGCCAAGTTGAGCCCAGCTGAGTTTGCTTGCGCTCAGTGGTTTGTGTTAAGAGTACAGGAGAAACCTTCTCCAAGGGGCTGTGACTAATAAGATTGTAAACACTCCACTTGAAGACCTCCTCCGAGGTCTTCACAAATACGCAGGCTTATGAGATAAGGTAAATAAAGTTTCCTCTTGTGGGCTGCATACGACGTCAAACGCTCTGTTCCTGACACCTTACCTTTTACGATTAAAATCTGTTCAGTTTGCTTGTGGATTTAGTGTATTTCGTTACTACAGCTGAGGCGAGAACTGCTTCTGAATAGGTGAGTTTTTCCACCTTCTCTCTGAGTAGAAAGTGGAACTTACAATGCAGGAGAAAAGAGAGGTAACTATTTTGGAGACAGCGGACTGGAGTGGACACCCCATCGCGTAGTAAGATTCTCAACGTTCTCCTAGCTTTCCTCTTCCCAGGCTGTACAGACGCATCAGCTCTTCCCCCTGGGCCTCCAAAAGTAACTTTGCACCCGAAGCGTAAGGGTCATTAGGAACTAGAGCAAGTTAGAGCAGAGGAGGCCTGGCAGGGGAGGGGCGCGTGGAGCAGGGGCCCGAGTGGCGGGGAAGGCGGAGCGCTGCTCGGAGCAGCGGTCCCGTGGGAGGAGGGGGAGACAGCAAGGCGGATCCGAGGTCGAGGTGCGGTGGGTTGGGGTGCCAGGTTCCCCTTCCCCATCCTCGCCGGCCCGGGCTCTGGTGACGTTGCGGTTTCCTCCTCCCTCCAGCGGAGCCTCTGCGCCTGCCGCGTCCCGCCCTCCGCCTCTCTCCCTCCACACCCACCCGCTCGCGCCCTCCCGGCTGGCAGCCGCGCCGGCGGAGGCTGCAGCGGGGCATCCCGTGGCGCGGCGCCCACGGGCACCTATGGCGCGGCGGTTGCGTTGAGGGCTCGGCTCCGAGGGCGCCGGGGGCCAGGCGCCCTGGAGTAAGGGGGGCCAGGAAGGGGCTTCGGAGCCTGGGCCGAGGCTGCGGAGGCGTCACAGGACAGGACAGAGCCTTAGCCGGGAGCGGTAAGCTGAGGGGCGCGCAAAAAAAGGGAAGGGGCGCGCAGGGGACGCCGCTCTGGGCCCCGCACGACGCAACTTTCTTCCGGAGCCTCGGGCGGATCGCCAGCCGTGTTGGCCGGGCTCCGGCGGGAGGCGGAGAGCCACGTCCCTCGCCGGGCGCCGAGTGCTGCGGTCTGTGCGCCGGGGGCCGGCTTAGCGGGGCTTCTGGTGGGTGCGCGCGGAGCCCTGGGCTTCCCCAGCTGCGGGGCAGCTTTCCGTCTCCTCCCATCCCTTGAACGCCCAGCACGGCGTCGGGCGCACGCTTTAGGGTGCGTGGGATTTGGCAGGCTGAGCCGCGATTTTCCGGACGGCCTGTGGGGCTTCGGCTTCCGTCTACCCGGTCGGGGGCACAGCCTCACGCCTTCCCTTCCTCACACATCCCGGTTAGCGGGGCTGGAGTCGGGTGGTGTGCCAATCCTGGCTCTGGCAGCCCGACTTTGCGGCTGCGAAAGCCGAGGAAGCACGTCCACAGCCTCCCCCAGACGTGGATTCCAGCGCTGCTTGGCTCCACCGACACTCGGAGAAATTGTTGGTAAACCTCACTCTGGGACGCTGCGCGGGCTGGGATCCCAGAGCAGCCTCTGGTCGGGATGTGTGTCTAGAGGAAAAGAGAGAGCTTACTCACGGGTTGGGAAGCTCTGTAAGCGATGCCACATGGGCTCAGGCGTCTGCTGGGACCTGAATCTCAGCTACATTTCTAACCCCAGAACTTCTTCGTTTTCGTCTCTCGTTTTAGGCAGCAGCCTCCTCTTAGACCGGCTAGTATTAAGGTTGAAACTGAATCCATTGCTTAAAAGCATGAGGTGAACCCCGTTTACTTGGAATTCCTTAGGTCAGGAAATCGCACTTTGAGTTTCTAGGGAGCTTCTTATAATAAAGTCCTTTTAAACGTTTTTCGTTGGTCATGGTTTAGAAAAAGCTATTTAATGATACATTAAATTGGAGAATGTGCAATATTTCATGGACTATTTAGACTGTACCACTAAATGGGATCACAAAAAATGTTGGTAACTTACATGGAAGAAATAAAACGTAGGAATATCTGTCTGATTTTTTGTCTTTTTTCCTCTTAAGGTCACTATACACATCTAACTCCTTTGTGAAGTATGTAGGTTTAAGATGTATTCCAGTAAAAATAAAGAAAGGAAAAGATTGAATTTAATGACTCTGTCATCTAGTGACTCCTCTGTGCGGAAAGTGCAAGACAGTGCTGGTTCCTTAGGAGACAGACAGGTGTGTATAAGAAACACACAGCCCTAGCTTTCTTGGAGCTGCTAATCTAGATAGGAAGAAAAACATCAATAAACCACAGCGGAGAGTTTGAGCTTGGGAACAGTTCTTCGTCATTGACTGTTGTTACATGATGTCAGTTTCAGTTTCTTCAGCTTTTTGTTAAGTAAATAACAGTGGCTTACAAAGTAAATTTTGACAGTTAGGTTAAAAAATATTGGTAGTGTAAATCCCCAAATGCATTGCCATGGAGTCAGTTCCAGCTCATGGCGACTCCATGTGTTACAGGGTAGTACTGCTTCATAGGTTTTTCTTGGCTGTAATCTTTAGCCCTTTCGTTACCGTTGGTATAAACAGTATGCCAGCCGCTTTTTATGCCTCTAGACCTCAGAGGTAAGGTGTTATTCTGCTTTTAATGCGTTTGGTGTCCAGGTGGGTCGCTTTTGAAATGCGTGGAGCTCAGCAGACAAAAGGGAGAGCCTTACTGTTGTGTAGGTTGAGCATTCTATTAGGTGATGCTTCCTGGATGTGTTAGTTTTGTGAACTTTTGCTTTTTTCCCCCTTTATTTCTGTGAGATAAGGCTTGTGAGCGTAGTTATGGCTTTCTTCTGTGACAGTGAGGGAGCCCTGGTAGGTTTGTTTTGGTTTTTCTGTCTCATATTTGGAAAACCAGAGGTTCCC